ACGATAGGTAAGCTTTACGATTCATTTTCTATTTTTTATTTTCTATTTATATTAATTTACTAGATTGTATATCTAAATTTGGGATGAGTTAAATTGTTCCATTGAATTGCCCCAAATTTTCACTTGTTTTTGAAAATTGAAAACTGAAAATTCTATTATTTTGTAATTTAGATTTGGGATTAGGAAACTTTATATTATATTTGGTTTACATTTTTTTTATTGTAAAATTGGTTTTGGACAAGGATGACAATGGCTTTTTATGACCATATTTATAAAAAGATATTTTTTTATAATTCTTTTCACAGTGTTATTATTATTATTATTTTGAAACGGTTGGATAAATTCACCAAATTAGTTAATTTGTTCATGTTCGGGTTTGAACTCAGGACCTCCAATCTAAAAGGCTTTCATTCTACTTATTCTTTTACGTATTTTTTTTGTTTTGTTCCTTAAAATCCCGTCTGTTTTTAATAAGATGCAAACCTACTTCTCATAAAAATTGTTATTATTACATTGAAAAAAAAAATTGATACCAAATCATAAACCCTCTTTTGTATTTTGGTTTAAGCTCCATCTATCTAGCCACAAAATATAGTTTCTCAAAATTATTATATGGATCACTCTATTCTTTTACACTAACATCACAAATCAAGTCTCCTGCGATTGCCTTCACATCATGTCACCTATAACTCAACACAATTATCTTGGTCATACAAATAGTCAACCTTTTCAATTTCTATGTGATCTTCATTCTATTTTTCGCATTAAACTCAATAATAAATTTATGTGTGATTCTTTCATTTAGGAAAACATTGTTTTTTATCCATCATACTATATAAAATTTTCTTCATTCAACATAATACACACACCGATCTTCGAACATCTCCAATCTTAAGCAAACAAGGACTAGAGGTGAGCATTTGGATCGGTGGACCGGATCAGACCGTTATTTTGGACCCTCGGGCCGGTTCTCGGTTCTAGGAATCCATCCCAGTTCGGTCCGGTTTTTTTCCCGGTCTGGTCCGGTTTTTACAGGGTTTAAATCGGTTGGACCCGATTTAAAAAAAAAAATTGTAATCTGTGAAAATTTTTAAACAAACATAACTTATTTGTTTTAAATCGGATTGACACACGGTTTTTTCCAACGTTTAACTTACAGTTTGTAGATAAATTTAGACTATAGTTTTGTTGATTTTGGTATAGTATTCAATGAGTTACAGACTTTCAAAGTTGAGCCATCAAAACTGAAAATCTTCAGCTTTTCAGTAAGTTTTTTAAAATTTTGTAATCTGTGAAAATTTTAAACAACCATAACTCATTCATTTTAAGTCGGATTGATATGCGGTTTTTTCCAACGTTTAATTTACAGTTTTTAGATGAATTTAGACTATAATTTTGTTGATTTTTGTATTATATTCAATGAATTATAGTCTTTCAAAGTTGAACTATCAAAGCTGAAAATCTTTAGCTTTTCAGAAAGTTTTTTAAAATTTTGTAATCTGTGAAATTTTTTAAATAACCATAACTCATTCGTTTTAAGTCGGATTGATCTAAGGTTTTTTCCAACATTTAGTTTACAGTTTGTAGATAAATTTAGATTATAATTTTTTTGATTTTGGTATTATATTTAGTGAGTTACAATCCTTCAAAGTTGAGCTATAAAAGCTAAAATATTTCAACTTTTTAACTATCATTTTATACTATAATTCTGAATTTTATGTATCTTTGATAGATAAAACATATGAAAGGGATTTTGGTGAACTTGATTTATATGTTAGTTAATTTTATTTGAAAAATTAATTTTGCAACTTATAATATTATAACATCAAGGTAGATTAGTTATGCATGGAACTGAAACATAATCATTTTTACAAGTTGTATCGTATCAAACCTAAAAACTTATTTTAACGACTTCTATTCTATGCAATTAAAGTTGTACCAATCCAAACATGTCCAAGAAAATAAAAATTCTTCAATGCTAAAATTGTTGTAATCAACATTGTGCTAAAACCACTACGCAATTTACTAATTTAGTTTCTCATGTTCGTATACCTCTGCTTAAAATAGAGCGCATCATTTGAACCATTACAGACATGATTCGAACACACCTCATTCAAGCCTTACTTTCACCAGTCTTTTGGAACAATGCTCTCGGAATATCCACCTATCTTCTCAACATTCTTCTATTAGACTATTAACCAATTATAAATATAATATATTATGTGATCACACCTCATTATATTTGCTTGTTTACCTTGTAATAGTAGTTTGTCAAAGATCAGTGTTTTGTAGGAAAAAAAAAGTTCGTTAACCAATCATAACATATTCTATATAAATTAAATGTATGTATCCATGGATAATGAGTATAATATCCGTACTTAACCTATAAGTTCACTCAAACTATGAGTACAATATTCATATGCTTAAACAATCATTACTGGTTTGTTAATTCCATAAAATATGCAGTTAAGCTTTGTTGTGAAGGATGACTCCCATAAGAAGAAACAAAGATAAACAAAAAATGGAGTCGAATGACAAGATTGAAATCAGGCCAGCTAGTCAGAGGGTTGTTCTCTCGAGAAGAATTTCTAGTATGTTCTCTTAAAATCATCTTCAACACGATAAACATTTTTAATTTAAATATAACATATGTTATTCTTTATTTCTATTTTTTTGTCGATATAGTGCTTGTATTTCCATACAAAACTCTCGACAATTTCCAGTCACTTTTCAAGGTATCAAGGACAACATTTAGCTACATATGCTCGATAGTAAAGGAGTTCATGATGTCTCGAGACACCAACTCCATGTTCTTAGATGGAAAATCAATGTCCCTCAATGATCAAGTAGCCATTGCTTTAACAAGGCTAAGCTCGGTTGACCCCACCTCAAACATCGCGAGCTTTTTTGGTACAAACTACTTGACTGTCCTTGACATAACCTCACGGTTCGTGGACGCGCTTCAGGTAACCGGTGCGCACCACATTACATGGCCGCTAGATATGGCTCTGGTCAAGTCCTCATTTGAGAGGTCTGGCGGCCTGCCAAATTGTTGTGGTGCGATCGAGACCACTCATTTGAAGATGTATCCGCCCGCTTCTGAGCTTAGAGCCAAGCTGTGTCTTGACCGCGAGAACAACCATAGCATGCTCTTGCAGGTGACTGCTAAATGCATAAAATAGCAATGTACTTTTATTAATTATAGGGAAATCTTCAGAAAAGTCCTAATATTTTACCATAATTTACGAAAAAGTCTCAAACTAAAATTTGTTTACGAAAAAGTCCCAATTACCGGTAAAAATGACGATTTTACCATTTTTTCCGGTTTATCGGTTTCAATACTTATCCGGTTTCATTAAAGTCTTATTATTTTACCATAATTAAGTCCCAAATTATGGTAAAATAATGGGACTTTAATGTGGTAAAATAATGGAACTTTAATGAAACCGGGTAAGTATTAAAACCGATAAACTGGAATTTTTTTTTTTTTTGTCAAATCATCATTTTTACCGGTAATTAAGACTTTTTCGATAACAAATTATACTTTGAGACTTTTTTCGTAAATTAGGATGAAATATTAGAACTTTTCCGAAATTTTCCCTTAATTATATCATCCTATTTTTATATTTTTCTATTATAACACTATATTTTTCCAGGCAAATCACAAAATTGACCCAAAATGTGGTGGTCCCATCATTGGACCATATTTTAAAATTTATCATAAAATGAGCACTTACTACCAATATGTAATTTATTTCATAAAATTACTTTTACGTGTCCCTACTATATTTTTCGTAAAATAATAAATGGTAATTTTATCAAGAAATTATGCCTCTTTCATGAAATAAAATCAAATTAAATAACAAAAATAATAAAAAGCTTCAACATCTCTTTGGTAGGGACTACTGAAAAAAAAAATGTCACAAAAGAGTTATTTTTCAGGAAAGACGAAAAGAGTGATAATTTTGTGATAAAAGTTGAAAAGTTTGCCATTTGTGAAACGATTACACTTTTTTCTTATTAAAGCATTGTAATTTTGAATAATCCATCAAATTATAGCATTGTACTTTTAATTTTTTTTTTCCCATAGTAGGACAATGTAATTTGGAAAACCTCCTCTATTACGTAAGTAAAAATTGATTTTTATTTAGGGAATTTTCCAAACTACAATGTTATAATAAAAAGAAGTGAAACTAAAACATAATACTCCAATGAACAAATAACTAAAAATAAATTGTTATTTCTTTCATTTAACCATTCCAGGTAATCGTGGACCCCACAATGCGATTCATTGATTTGGTCGCAGGTTGGCCAGGAAATATGACAAACGACAAGGTGCTAAAAAATCAACAATCTTTCAATTGACTCAAAAAGGAAAAAGACTAAACGGGAACAAAATCGAGTTATCTGATGGAACAAAAGTTGGTGAATATATAGTTGGAGGGTCGAGTTTTCCTCTCCTACCATGGCTGATAACTCCATACCAAAATGAACCCCTAACAGAAGACCAAATCAAGTTCAACAAGAAGCATCTTGAAACTCGATTGTTTGCCAATCAGGCGTTGAAGAAGTTGTAAGACGTTTGGGCGGCGGTTGATGGCGGCATGTGGCAGCCCGATATGGATAAGTTACCGGAAATTGCTTTAGGGTGTTGTATTCTTCATAATATTTTGATTGATATGGAAGGTGATGGGGTGTCTGATGTGTCGATAATGCCCGGTGACCATGACCCCGGGTATTCGCCGGAGAAAAGCACGGTGGTTGATGGTGGTGCTGATGTCATCAGAGACAAACTGTGTCTCCACTTGGCCGGAAAACTTGTGGCTTGAGTTGGATTTATGAGATGCCATTCAGAGACTTTTTTTTTTATTGGTAGAATATAAAGATATTGGAGCCTTGGTTGTGTTTTGCTTTACATAATATATATATATATATATATATATATATATATATATACTTAAAAACTTCGGGTTTTTCGGTTATTATATATATATAAAAAATAAATAGAAGCTAATTTATTTCCAAACATGCGTTTATAAAATAAAAAAATCGACATCTGTCATTATTACCTTCTAAATTATTTGAAAGATGTACAAACCAAGGAAAAATATACAATGGAATGGAAATTCCATTTTACACCAAATGTTGCTATGCTGAAAGCGGTTGATTGTGATTCCCATTACCAATGGCCAACAGGAATCGCTCATTCCATTCTTGCTTGAGAGAATCCGGAATCGGATTATCACCAATAAAAGCATTCCAATTTTGCCCTCCACTACTAGCAATAACCCAATTGATTTTGCTTGGAGGACTAGTGGTAAATGATGATGAAGCTTCATCCTTTTTCAAAACACTTTTCTTCCATGAATCATATGACCCATGATTCTACACAAATAAAAAAAAACATTTCCAAATTATATAAGTTTATATAAAATAAAATTCAGTTCAAAACACAAATTCAACCTTTATAGAATTGCTTAATTTAAAAGCCTTGGCAATTGGTAAATTATTTTCTCTAAGCTCTTCAAGTACTACAGATAAAGGAGCATTTTCTTCAAGTTCTGCTATGTGCTTCTGGACAGCTGTCAATGATCTGAACTTCTGTCCAGTCCCTGGCTCATAATAATACTACAAAAAAAAAACTAATTAATAAAAATATAAATTATTAATTATTAATTAATAATTAATAATTACCCTGTCGATATGGTCTTTGGTTTTTCGGGGGATCTCTTCCACAATCCAACCATCAGGGAGAGAGAAAGTGGAGGAGGATTGAAAACTTGTGGGAGTTACATTTACTAATTGATATTGATTATATTTATCCTCTTCAAAATCCAGCATCTGTAACATTATTTTTAAAAAAAATGGTGAAAGGTATATTTTTGTAGATTATTGTTGTTATTATGATTCTGTTTTAGTGCATAGTTTAAAGGTTACCTTTCCTCTAGAGGCGATTTTCTTTCGACTACTGAAACTATGCAGATGCTAAAAGAAGAAATAAATAAATGGATTAGTGAAAATCTTATACATATGTTTAATTTGATTATATATCATTAGGGTGTGAAGAAAGAGGATAAAAATGTCACCTTTTCATGGTATTTTAGCCTCTTGGTGGTTGATTTAGTAGGTGTAGATCCTTTTGTAAGGTTCCTTTCAACATCTTTTAAAGATCGGAACTTTCGTTCAGTATTTGGATCATTGTAATACTGCAGAATAGTGTTAAATACAAAGCAATTATCAGTGATATAATTGGATAAAATTTTGTGATAAATGTAGAAGGATAAAAGTACCAAAAGAGAAAGAAGTGGATAAAAAGATTACATTTGCTTGAGATGTAATCATCTTCAGATCCAACGTATTCTGTAAAATATGCAGAATAAAGGCAAGTTACAGTTATGGAAACTACTTCTTTTTGTTAAAATTTTGGGAAGGAAATAAATCTCACCTTAATTCTGTAAGCAAGTCTCAAAGGCCTGGATCTAGTAGATTTATATTCTTCAACATTCAAGTATCTCTTAACTTCTCTTCTAGATCGAAATTTGCGCCCTGTTTCTGACTCAATGTAATACTGCAAAATACGATGACAATAATTTTAATGCAATTTGCACATCTGAATGACGTTAAAAGCCAAAATCGAGATTTTACGAGTTTGAGAGCCCGTGAATTGAAGTATTAGGTTACAAGCCAAATCAATTAAGCTGATAGGTTTTACATATTGCTAAAAACACCGTTCAAACCATAACCTTACTAATACCACAAAAAGGGGGAAACTGAACTTTGTATTAAGAAGAAATGCAATGAATTAAGTACAATTATGATGCATTTCACATGAAATTTATGTGCACTATGTACTTAGAGACCTTGTCGACGCGAAGGCCATCGGAGCGGGGGACCTGGTGGACGAACCAGCCGTCAGGAAGAGAAAACGGTGAGGAGAAAGGAGTGATCGCAGAAGAATCTGAATTAGAAATGGAATGTGAAATAGGAGTTACATCGTCGACAACTGCAAGTTGACGTTGTAGGGCATAATCATTGTCGTCAGTGACCGGCTCCGCCATTCGTCGGGAACTGTAAAACAAACTCGTCGTCGTAACAGAGTAGAACTAAAACAATGGCATTGTTCATCAGTTCATCTTCATCCGGCAATTATTGGGTTTATCGCGCATTATATAGTGTTTGGGCCAAATAATTCAAACTGGGCTTTATATGAGCCCAATCGTTTATGACGGTAGAAATAGTGGTGCCCAAAATAACAGGTTCAAGATCCGAACCGGTCAAAGAACTAGTAAACCGGTTTATGCTAAACCGATCTATAGTGAATCGAATCGGTTTGAGAACCGAACCACCGGTTTACACTCATTCAAGAATTTTGTCACTGAAACTAGTTTAGAACCGATTTATATCGTGTGAACCGGTTTGGAATCGATATAGAACGGTCGAACCGGTTTAGAACTGGTACAACCGGTTTAGATAGGTTCGATTAATTTATTGAGTGAACCAGTTTGAACCGAATCGATTTGAGGCTGAACCGGTTTCCTTGGCTATGGAGTGAACCAAACCGGTTTAAAGAACCGGTTCGGTTTGAAAAAAAAATCCGGTTTGTGCATGCCTAGATAGAAATATTATACGAAGATAAAAACGATATTAATCCCAACTTTTAATGTAAAATTGTCATATATATATATATATATATATATATATATATATATATATATATATATATATATATAGAGAGAGAGAGAGAGAGAGATAGAGAGATAGAGAACTAGGTTTAAATGTTTCTAGCAACTATTGTGTGCATGTATCCACCAATAAAAACTAAGGCAATAATAAATTATTAAATAAATCATTTAAGGGTATAATAGTAATATATGCATATTTTTATATGGAAATTTTGACCAGTTCTTCTTAAAACCCGTCGTTCTACATCTTAAAAACCCTACTCCGCCATTGCCGATCACGATTCTCCCCCTTTTCACATTTTTTTTCTTGATTTCCACCACTGTCCTATTTGCATCTTACTTACGATCTCCACCCAACAGTAGCCACAAGCACCGACGACCTCATTCCTCCACCATCGGTTGTTTCCTTCCCTATCAAACGACACCAAGATTCATGCGATCCTCTTCTTCCACATACCGGTCGTTGGCTCGTTGTCAGATTTTCCATTTACTTGACAACGATTAATTCTTCAAGCTGACATCTATCTCCTTCAATTGACACTCATATTGATCTATTGTCTTTTTTGATTGAGTTGAATCATCCCCGTTTCTCGTTTCTAAACATTTACTAGATAAGACATTTTTAATTTTTGAAATTTTTTTCTCTTTCAAATCAATTGATTTTTAGAGTATATACGATTTTTTGTGGGTTAATTTGTTTGATAATAATGTTCTGGATACATGTCAGGACCATTACCATTGGAATTTCAATTCGAATATGTAATGGTTACATTCAATGTGATTTTTTGTGGGTTATTGATTTTTACATTAACTTTCGATCAAAGTTTTTATTATTTTGCAACATCCATGTTAGAAGTTTTTATTGTTTTCCCTTAATTTTTTTTATTGCTTTGCATTATACAAGTTACAGACTAAAAATTAGGTGATGTATATTTGTTCAAATTAAATTATCTTTGTTTTTTTATAATTGAACTTTGATTATCTGCTATCTACATATGTTGCACAACATGTGCTTGTGAAAATGTTAAAAAAGAATTTGATGTTTAAATTCTTGATTTTTAAATTTAAATTAATTTAAAATATTCAGATTTTTAAAAGTAAAGGAATTAATTGACTAAAATGCCATTATCCTAAAATTTGTGTGATTATACGGTACATGTTATCCTATTCTACTATCATAGACCCTCAGATCATGATAACCGATTTAGATGGCACATTGTTATGTTACATAGTGAGTTTAGTCGAATCATGGATTATAGATTATGGTTCATCATTTCATGCTACTCCATGTAAAAAGGTGGTGCATAATTCCAATCATTATAGTGGGAAAGTGAGACTGGTAGACGATAAGTGTCTTGATATTATGGGTGTTAGGAATGTTATCCTCAAGACATCTATTGTCTTGAATTGGACATTGAAAAATGTCAGATACTTCCCAAATATGAAGAGAATGCTAAAATAAGTGGGACAATTAGACGTTGAAGGATATCATGTGGATTTTGGAGATTATCAAAGTAACAAAGGGGGAATTTGGTAGTTACTTGCAGACGGAAATTGAGAATCTTATACATGGTTGATGTGTCTGCAGATGGTGTAAACACGGATATTGAGTATATTGCTATATCTACATTGTGGCACCGAAGACTTAGGCACATAAGTGAGAAAGGTAGAGACTTGAATTTTGGCAAGCTTTATTCTACAAAAATGACCCCAAGGAATACCATGGTTGGTTAGGCTCATATATAAATAGTCTTTAATAATTTACATTTCAAATTATAGTATATTGAAGAAAGAATCCTTAAAGTTTACCCCTTTATCACCATCATGTCAATTTGTAAGGTATATTGCTATTAGATATAAGACTCATATATGACAGGTGGACTGTGACATCCCCATTTTCACGGCCAGAAAAGACCGATTTGTTTATGCTTTGTTTTATAAAATCAGAGTAATCTTTTAAAGAAAATGGTTGCGTAATTTGTTCCCAAAACAAGATAAGATAATAACTTATCAAAACATTTCTCAAAGAGAATGTATTTTCATTTAATAATAAAACCTCGGGATGTCATGTTCCGATACAGACATATAAGCATAAACAGAACTTACATTTAATTACACAATTGATTTATATCTCCTTTAAATCTCTCTGTGAAATATGTCTTCGTATTAATATCTGTGATACAGAGAAAACTGAGTGGGTCAGGCTTGGGAGCCTGGTGAGTATATAGGGTTTTCAACCCATAATAATATAATTATTATATTCAACCATCAAACAATCAACTCAATTACCCATCCCTATTATCTTCTTTAATTCTTAGGATTTTACCCTAGGAATTCAACTACCCGTCATTCATTCATTCCTAAGGATTGGCCTAAGGAATTAGCACAAACTTTCATTGCTACATAAGGCGCATCTGCTAACATTATCCTTTAAGCGCCTCTGCCAGGATTACGTCATACACTATGAGGCGCGACTGTCAGGTTTATGACATTCTCTTTTAGGCGCATCTGCCGACATTATCCTATAAGCACATCTACCAGGATTATCCTATAAGCGCATCTGCCAGGATTACGACATTCACTACTTGGTGCATCTACCGATATTATTCTTAAACGTATCTGCTAGTATTATGATATTCTCTAATTGGTGCATCTGCCAATATCATTCTTAATCACCTTTCATACCTCATCGTTTTATCACATACCAACTATCTCATCAACCCATGTTCTACCCAACATATTTGTAGATATAAAATACATATACAGTTTAACTCATTTAAAAACTATATAAAACATCCATCCCACACTCATCTCAAATAAACAACAATATATAAACACATAGCACATATTTTATAACAAATACTTCATATTTATGTGTTAAAAAAAAGTAACTACACACTCACCCAAACATATACTTAATACAGTCAAACAATACTTGTATTATACCTGTGTTTATGAAAGGGACTATACACCCACACATATAAACAACTTTATGAAAGGCCGGTGACTCCCCCCATGGATAATATCGGCAAATTTTTATTTAAATTTAATATCAAAATTATTAAATAAACGTCAAAAATTCATATGTTCTTCATACGAACTCCGTTTTCGACGCTCTTTATATCCCCGCGTAGGTGAGACTACGATCTACAACTTTTGTTTAGACTCCGTCGGCTAATTTAGAATTTATTTTTATTATTTATTTTTAGTAGGCCGGGACAGGAAAACTCCGTTATAAAATCATAACTTCTTCATCCGACGTCCGTTTTCGCCTATCTTTTTATCATTTTACTACAATTAATGAGATCTTCAATTCTCATTTAGATTGTCTCGGCTAAAAAACCGCTCGGTCTCAAATCAAGCATTCGGGCTGCATACCGCTAAGTCGAAACTTCGAAAAATCATAACTTCCTCATACGAAGTCAGATTTGGGCGTTCTTTTTATGCACGCTCATGGTTTAACGTATTCTACGACTTTCATTTAGATTGATAAGGCTAAATATCGCTCTAACGTAAATTCACTTTTTACGTCGCGTTGTGTCGTGCTGGTTCTGTCGCGAAACTTCGACAGGTCATAACTTCTTCGTTATAACTCGGATTTCGGCGTTCTTTATATGCACGGAAACCTTGTAACATATACTATAACTTAATTAAGATTTATTCGTTCAAAATAATCTTCCATCAAAAAGTCATTTTTGACGCTTAACGTCTCTAATTGACTAGCCCGGATCTACGGGCGTTACATGGACGATTATGCTCATTTACTTTATGGCTTACTGTAGTAGTGATACATATATCCCAATTAGTAATGGATACATGTCTCTATATGTATATTTGGCTAGTGTTGATTTGGTAATATATTGTTTTTTATTGATAAAATATAAATTATTTGTAATTTATAATCTTCTAATACAATGTTTACATCATTATACATGTTTTGCTTCGTGTTAACTATAAGTCTACAACAATAATCATTGGGTGGTTAGTAGGGATGACTTATAAAACCGGAAAACCGAATCGGTACCGGAATCAGGCCGAAATCGGAACCGGTATAACAGAAAAATGCTTAACCAGCCCGGGCAGTGGGTTTAAAATTAGCCTTATTTGGGTGCTGGTCATTCTAAGTACGGGTCCAGTGGGTCAAAGTATTATGGGTTTTAGAATCAAATTTTTTACAATTGTAGTAATTATTTCTATTAATCAGCTACATGATACTGGTATTATTCCTGAAAACTGTATGCATAGAGTTATTGGGAATGGTAACCAGACCAAGTTCTAGACGGATGCTTGGTGTGCGGGTCTCCACTTTAAAGTGCATGTCCATAGATTTTTTGTGTTATTTACCTGTCAAAATGCCCTGGTTAGCGATTTGTACTCTTCGTCTAGTTGGAACTTCTCGTTGAGGCGTTTTATTAGAGGTGGTGCTAAGTCTCAATAGTTAAACAATTTACTGGCTTTACTCTCGGACTTTCAGCTCCGCTCGATCCCAGATCAATGGGAGTGGGACCTAGATCCCACGGGTCTGTTTTCAGTGAGGTAAACTAGAAGAATAATTGATGATGAGAGACCCCCCTCGGGTTTACGCCCTACGAGGTGGAATCATTTTCTCCCTAAAAAAATTAATATCTTTTTTTGGCGTGTTCTTCTTGAGCGAATTCTAGTTAAGGTTAGGTTGGTGGAAAGGGGAGTTAATTTGGATTCCATTCTGTGTCCCATTTGTCTTAATGTTCAAGAGGATGTCAATCATATTTTTCTTCATTGTGTGGTTGCCAAACAATTATGGAAACACATTGCTTTATGGGTTAACTTGGTTATTCCTTCCTTTTCGTCGGTTTCGAAAATGATGGAGTGGGTGGATGCAAGGCTGGTTGCTAGAATGGAACGAGCGATCATTGACTCTATTTGCCTGGTCAATATTTGGATGCTATGAACATATCATAATGGTCTAATTTTCTCCCCTCCTAAGTCTAAAAAAGAATTTTTGTTTGATTCTGTTGTTAAATCTTCGTTTCGTTGGTTTTCTTTTCGTAACTCTAAGGCTAGGATCGATTGGGTAGCGTGGTTACAAAACCTAATCCTGCCTCAATTTGCGTTTTTTGCTAGCTTTTTGCTAGTTTTGTATTGTTTTGTGTTTTAATATATTCGGCTTCCATTCAAAAAAAATGATAACATCTTTTCATTAGGTCATAGCGAGGAGATGTTGGTAGTCTTAAATAGTTTAGAAGATTGTTTTAACGATTACTTAAAGTCGATAGTTTACTGGGTGCAGAGTGGACGACAAGCCACCGAAGTGTGGTTAAAGATTAATTTTCTCGAGAATCTACCTCATAATTCTAACGCAGTGATTGTGGTGTTTTTATATGTATGTTGTTAGAAACATTAAGTAGTGGTACAATAGTGACAATTAAGTAGAATAAAAAAATTATGTAAATAGAAAATCTTGAGATTATCATGTGTATGAATAATATTATGTGGGCATGCAATGAA